AGGGCAAAACATTTTTATGAAACATAACTAACAAATTACATTAGTCATTAATTACAATGTCAAGGGTTATGAAATATCATTTTCAATAAAGTAATATTAGAAATATGGAGTACAGCACATAATATTTAAAATTACATTCTTATTAGAATCATTTTAGTCAGGTTCCATGGAACTTTGTCAAATTTATATTCCGTCGGTGATTGGTCTAAAACAAAACCTGCCGTCTTGTGGGAGCATAGTTTGGAATAGCCTTTACAGAAAAATCAAAGGCAATTAGTCTAAGCCGTGAAAAGATCTGCAAAGATTATTGATCCTACAGGCGGAAATGCTATTTAAATGAGCAATTTTAGATTTTGATTTCATTTAGAGATTGCATTGCTCAAAAAAATTTAGATGTAGGGATCTAGTGGGCCAGTTAATTGGGCTTCGTAGTTTTAGGCGATATATTTTAGTATAAATATCATGCAAGAATTATAGTTTAAAAATTAATATTCACCCAGGAAGTCTGAGCTAAGTTACTATATTACTGGTAATATATTGTTAATTGAGCAAAGATAATTTAATCTATCACACAATTGTATTAATTGTAGATGTTCGTGTAAAGTTGCTGCTCTTTCCTTTACAGATCTATGTGGATGTAAAGACTGTCAAAATTCCACACCTACACCCACAGAGATGGCTATGGATGATAATGATGATGATCATGATGATGAAGAAGAATGTTGAATGTAAAAACTATAATAATAATCAATACATTCTCAATAAAAAATAAATATATATATTTTCATTATTACATCAACAAATATCTGTTTAAAAAGTATTATTATTTTTTCCTTTTCTTTAAAATGATTTTCTATCCCCAATTCTTTGTACACCTTTAACCTGGCATTACTAAAATTAAAGCAATATATGGGAGCATGGATTTTATCCGCAGTTGAATGCTACATTCTCACATAGTTTATAACTCTTACATCATGGATTTTTTTTGTGTCTGTCCCTTATGATCGGCTGAAGTTTATTGATTTTTTTTATCTTGATTTCTGATATTTTTAAAATCAAGTTATTCCATCAGATTATAATTTTGTTTTATTTTATAGTAAAACTAATGGCTAGTCTGGAGGTAGGGTGTTCGATCCCTGCATTGGCCGAGAAAGTTCATCCAGATTTTCCGGCGTGGTTCTCCCTTGTCAGTGATGCAGGACGGAGGGGCCGACAAGGACAGCTGTCTAGTCGTTCGGATGGGACGAAAAACCGAGGTCCCGTGTACACATTGGTGTGCACGTAAAAGATCCCTTGACAGTTGGAATTCGATATAAGAGTAGGCCGTAGTGCTGCTGTCCGGGCAAAATTTCCCTCATAGCACACTGTATGGCGTATGCCCGTCTTCATTAGCCCAGATCGGAGCAAAACAGTAGGATGTTAATCCCCATTTCATTTCAGTAAAACTAATGTTTTAAATCTGTATCATTAGTCGAGTTTAAATTTTGAACAGTTTTACAATTCAAGTAATCTTTGTTAATATTGAACCTATCATTGAACTCGCTATAACATATATTAACCATAACAAATTCATTATGCATATTTTGTACACTTTAGTCCATGAATGATTTAGTATAATTATAAAATCAAAATCAACATGTTTTATTAAATTTTAAAATGACTTTGTATATATGTTTTTACATACCTATTGTATGCTGATTCAAGCCTATAAATTCATATCTTATCAACAGAGCTTGTACATACTGTTTTTTCCATATTCATTTTCATTAAAATCAGAACTTTTGTCAATTAAAGTCATTACAGTAATATTAAATGTTTAATTTTTGAACTACATGTATTAAAAATCTTAATTATTTATTTATATATCAGACATGTGCAGCATACATATTTATTTTAGTCTATTATGGTACATTTTTTCTCAGTTGTTAATTATCAATGAATTAGTGTATGTGTAGTGTGTACATGAGTGTGTGAGTGTATGTAATATATATATGTGTATATTTATGTATTTGATTTATTATTGTAATTTCATTATGTTTTGATTGTAATATTTATATCTGTTTGGTTTTTTTTATTTTTTTGGAGAGTGGGCTTACCTGCTCTATAATCCAATTATCTTTAATAAATAAAGTTAAAAAAAATAATTTATTTTTAAAACTCCCATAGACCGCTCCTTTGAGCAAGACCACTCCCAAAGACCGCTCCTTTGAGCAAGACCAAGTAGTCTATATATATTTTTTAAAATAGGGGAATTGACAAACAACCCAGTTAACATTGATGGTTAGATTTACGTAAAGTTTACGTCATTATGGTTAGATTTTGGTTAGCGTCCAATAATGGTAAAATTCTTTGGTTAAATTTACGTTACTTTTACGTCATAATGGTTATGGTTACTTTTACGTCAGAAAATGACGTAAATGTAACGTAAACTTTATGACGGATTACTAACCAATTTTTTTCCCTTTGAATACTTCTTGATTAAATAACATTACAAGTGTGTGCACATTCTAACAATTGATATATAGTCGGAATTCAGACAAAATAATTATATATGTATTATTGGTTATAATTCTAACGTTGATCTAAAGTAAAATTTACATCAGGTTTCTAACCGTTAGTTTATGGTTAGTTTTCTGACGTAAATCTAACGTTAGTTTTCTGACGTAAATCTAACGTTAGTTTTCTGACGTAAATCTAACGTTAGTGTTAGTTTTATGTCATAATTTTAACCGTTAATTTAACGTTAGTTTTCTAACGTAAATCTAATGTTAATTTTATAACATAAATCTAACTTTAGTTTTCTAACATAAATCTAACGTTAGTTTTCTAACATAAACCTGATATTAGTTGTAAAACGTAAAACAAATGTCAGTTTAATGTCATGATACTAACAATTAAGGGCCTGACAAGACAGCTGTCTAGTCATTAAAATGGGTAAGACCCTGGCTCGCTAGCCTGGAGGTCGGGTGTTCGATCCCTGCATTGGCCAAGAAAGTTCATCCAGATTTCCGGCGTGGTTTCCCCTTGTCAGTGATGCAGGACGGAGAGTCTGACAAGGACAGCTGTCTAGTTGTTCAGATGGGATAAAAAAAAACCCGAGGTCCCGTGTACACATTGGCATGCATGTAAAAGATCCCTTGACAGTTGGAATTCGATATAAGAGTAGGCCGTAGTGCCACTGTCAGGGCAAAATTTCCCTCATAACACACTGTATGGTGTATGGCCATCTGCATTAGCCCAGTTCGGAGCAGAACAGTTGGACGTTAAACCCCATTTCATTTCATTACATTTTGTATCCATTTCTAAGTGCCCAAGAATAGAGATCTAGCTCCTTTAGTAGTTGCGGTCTGTAGGTGACACACAAAGAGAAACTGAATGAATGAATGATCTACTATCATTTCAAATTCCAAATGTCAAGGGTTCTTTTACGTGCACACCCACGTGATGGACTAGACACTGTTTTTTTGAGGTCCTCTGTCCTACACCACTACTAACAAAGGGAACTTTCTCGACCAACATGGGGATCACGTTGGCTAAGTGGGTAAGACGCTGACTCGCTAGCCTGGAGGTCGGGTGTTCGATCCCTGCATTGGCTGAGAAAGTTCATCCAGATTTTCCTGCGTGTTTTCCCCTTGTCAGTGATACAGGACGGTGGGCCTGACAAGAACAGCTGTCTAGTCAGGGATGAAAAACTGAGGTCACGTGTACACACAGGAGTGCACATGAAAGATCCCTTGGTAGTTGGAACTTGATATAAGAGTAGGCCATAGCGCCGCTGCCTGGGCAAAATTTCCTTCATAGCATACTGTATGGCGTATGCTCGTCTTCATTAGCTCAGTTTAGGAGCAGAACAGTAGGACGTTAAACCCGATTTCATTTCATTTTTCTCGACCAACACGGAAATTAAACCCCTCATTTGCTAGCCAGTGTGTTACTAATTACTAGAGAGAGAGAGAGAGAAATGGGGTTTAACGTCTACTCGACACAAACTAGGTCATTTTGGGACTAACATGGTTTAATTTTTATTTACATAATTCGCTTGCGCGTAGGGGTCTTTAGCAGTGGGAGAAAACCGGAGGTTGGACAGGCGACCCTACTCCTTGTCACGTACAACCGGGGATCCGAAACCACGCCAGTCAACTCAATGACAGACTTTATGATACAGCGCCCGCACACTAACCATTCAGCCATCCAACCCCCCCGTTACTAATTACTAAGTTTGTGAAATGTAGGTTTTTCCTCATGTAGGTTTGTCCTGATGAAGACAGGTACATACCATACAATGTGCTATGAGGGAAATTTTGCCCCAGCAGCGGCACTATGGCCTACTAATATCGAATCCAACTGCCAAGGGATCTTTTCGTGCAAGCCAATGTATACATGGTACCTCGGTTTTTTGTCCCATCTGAGTGACTAGACTACTGTCCTTGTTCCTGCACCTCTGACAAGGGGAAACCATGTCGGAAAATCCTGATGAACTTTCTCCACCAATGCAGGGATCGAACACGTGCCCTCCGGATTACCGAGCCAGCATCTTACGCACTTAGCCACCGTGGCTTTATCAAAATTAGTAATGAAGATGTGCTATGACAGAAATTTTGCCTGGACAGCAGCATTACCGCACTTACTAATGACGATGTGCTAGGAAAGACATTTTGCCTGGAGAGCAGCATTTCCGCATATAGTCATTACCAATAGTTCTAAGTGCACGCCAACCTGTAAAACAGGTCTTTACACACTTTTCCATCATTACCAATTACTAGTCTGTGGGTTCACTAGTCCGTGGGTGCACTAATCCGTGCATTCACTAGTCCACTAGTCTGACTCTATAAAATACTATAAATATGAGTATTAAAGAAACCCAGTAGATATGGTGACTGATATCACCATTCGTAAACCGATAACCCAACATCACGGCATTTTAACCCGAAATCACAACATTTTAACCAGTATAGCATATGCCCTTCTACATTAGCCCACTTGGAACAAAATAGTAGGATTTTCAAACCCCATTTAAAATTCATTTTCATACTTTTCTGCACCAATCGGACTATTGAAGATAGTCATACGCAATGCAGAGTGCTATGACGAAAATTTTCTATGGACTGTGGCAGGGCGGAGGATCTGGCAAGGGATAAGGTATAGGTGTTTGGGTCATACAAAAAATCAAGTCCTCATGTACATATTGGCATGCACGTAAAAGACACTCCGACAGTTGTAATTCAATATCAGAGTAGGCCATAGTGCCGCTATCCGTGCAAAGTTTCCGTCATAGTACACTGTATATAGTGTATGCCTGTCTTCATTAGCTCACTCAGAGCAAAACAGTAGGATGTTTAATCTCATTTAATTTTATTTAATTTTCCTACTTTTCTGCACCAATGGGACTATAAAAGATAGGCTGGCAAGCGGACGAGTGCACCCGTTGACTATTGAGCATCATTTACTTGAAAACGTTGAGAGAACCCTCAACGAAATGTCGCTTTAATTAAAATAGTAATTGTGTTTTTTGTTGTATCATCGAGTCAAGTGAACGTTAAACCCCATTTCTCTCTCTCTCAATTTTGATACCCAAAAATTTGACAAAACAAATAATGATTGATTGTCGGAAACTGTTTCATAAAGCAAAGTTGTTCTCTACTAAAAGGTTATCACTGTCCAAATGTTCGGAGTAGTCCACACCTAGGCCGACTATGCATGAAGTGTTTTTATAATTAAATTTATTAAATATAGTACCTTGCACCAGTAAATATAAAATTAATGATCCTTTCACCAGTAAATATAAAATTCATAGGCCGACAATGCATTAATTGTTTTTTATAAATAAAGTTATTAAATGTAGTACCTTGCACCAGTAAATATAAACTTAATGATCCTTGGACCAGTAAATATAATATTCATGATCATTATTTATATAAGGCCTTCATCAACCTTGCACCAGTAAATATAAAATTAATGATCCTTGTACCAGTAAATATAAAATTCATGATCATTATTTATATAAGGCCTTCATGTATGTTTGTACAAGTGTACATTCTTGGAATTGTATTACCATTAACAATATGGAGATCAATTATAATAACCTTTGGCCTTGTTCATGAATCCTTAAATTTTTGAAAATTTAGTTCTTAATATGAAACTATCTAAATAAAATATTGCTTAAATCAATGTGTGTTGTTAATGTCATTCAAAATGGCGACTGTCTACATATACAATATATAAAATAGGTCATGAGTCGATTGTTGCCGTTTTTTTATTTCGAATTTAAAAGTTCAACACTTAATTATATAAGTTGTAAAACCATATAAAAATAAAGGTTGGACCAAGACTAGTTCCATTTTTTTAAGTTATGAATCTGAAAAATAGATAATAATGACCCAGTCAATTAACATAGAGATCTACTCTAGCTATATGAGTCCATATATTTATCGTCTCTCGATAAAAGACCTATCTCTGAAAATTAAAATTCCCCGATTTGATTATTCTTTTAATATGACGTAATTATGTAACCTCATATAAAATATAGTAGAGCGTATACAAACAAATTATATGAATAGATTCATTATCAGAAATATTACAGGCCTTTCAAACGAACAGTCGCCATTTTTAGAGCTACATAGATGTACAAATATATTTTTATCGTCTCGGGCAAGGTCAAGGTCACGATCTGTTCACGGTTGATGATTGTGTTTAAATCGGTTTATATCATATTATTTCTATTCACATTACAATATTTTTTTATAGGTTACGGTTATTGTTGTTATTTATCTAAATTGCTTTTATTATTTATTAAATATTTTTTGTTTGTTCGTTTGACCGGAACGTACGGAATTCTGGGATTTAAAATGGCGGCATAGGTTATTATTTTTCCCAAAGAAGAAATGATGCCGTGATTTAAAGTTAAATAAAGCTATTCCACACATACACAGACGATTTTGGATTCAGCAAAGTAAAGTTGAAGGTAAATGCACTTTTTATGCGAACTTCCGTTGACAGTATACCGATAGATCTAATGTTGATAAAAAAATAATCTGGCCGTGGAAAAAGTTTGCACGCAACTTTGTATATCAGACAGTCAGTATTTGTTTTTAACACGATGCAGTTACATTGTCCGTAAACCATACTATTCATAAACAAAATCAACATTGCTTTAAGTTATCGAAAGTAATACTGGTTCCAAAATTGTTTTTAAAAAATCTGGATTAAAAAATTATCAAACACATAACGAATTTATTAATGATGTAGACTGTTAATATTCAGGCTGTGCTAATTATAATATAAGTACATGTAGTATTTTCTAAACATTTTTATGGGTGTTTCAGGTTGGGTTTTTTTGTTGTTATTGTACTGATATTTTTGCAAATTTAATAATGCATAATGCAAGAGCTAAATCTATATATTGTACGTAGGTTAAGTAGGTATTTCTTGAGACTGTAAATGTTAAAATTTTTTATAAGACATTTTAATGTATTAACTTGCTAAGTCTATAATCAAGTCTCAATGCCATCGGGTGCTCGAGATGTTCACATATTCAAACACTGGCGGTTAATGTTAATGATTTAATTTAATTGAAAAATGGATAATCAAGACTTTAAGCTTATATACATAGGCCTATTTAAATGATATAACATTAAATAACAAGTTTGCCCGTACATACTTGTACATAAAGGTTTCAGTCCTACTCCCCTGCTTATTTTTTCTTGTAGTGGCCAAGAAAGTTCATCAGGATTTTCTGGCATGGTTCCTCTTTTAACTGGTGCAAGACAGAGGGGCTGGTAAGGGCTAATGTACAGTTGTTCGGATAGGACAAAAAACCAAGCTCTTTTGTACACACGGCCAGTCAAAATTTCCATCACAGCACACTTTCAAGCATTTGTCCAACTTCTTTAGCCCTGTTTGAGCAGCACAGTATGATGTTGAACCCCATTTCATTACAGATCCACAGTAGGTTGGCTGTCAGCCCAGTTGGAGCTAAACAGTAGGCCGTTTAACCCAATTACGTTTTTTTTTGGGAGTATAAAGTTGCTTTTTATTTTTTTATTTTTTTTACAGATCCTACATGTATATTTGAGCACCCTTGGTGGCAGTAATGACAAAGAAGTTCTAAAAAGATTTATATGGGCTTTATAATGAAAGTTAGACAACACTACTACTTGCCAAACACTACTACTTGTCACATAATGTAATGATATAAATATATATGTATCTATGGTAGCACAAATATCATCAGAATGTAGGCCAAAGCTTTACAAGCATTGTAGGCCTAAAATACTTTCTGTCTGAACTTTTGACAGTCAATTCTTTGATGACTAGTTAGTTTAGAGCAGATATCCTGTCACAGTATTATATAACAGCTCTTTGGCTTAAAGTCTAAACTGAGTTGTATCAGTGAGTTGAAAATCATCTGTGTTCCTGTTATTGCTCCCTGCTGCAGCCAGTAAACAATAACCTTTTGCGTTCCTTACAAATCTTCCAATTTTTATTGATAGATCAACCATAGCAAAGATCTCTATTAAGATTATATTTGTAATGTGTGTAACAAATTCTATGACATAGGTATAATATTGGTGTAGTTAAGTATATACCATATTTATGCACACATTTCAATGTTGGCATATTATTAGTCTCTATCATCTAGAAAAAAATATTCTATATTCTACGAATATTAGTGTGGTTGCGTTGTCAACATTTGAGAATAATCGGTCATAGGCTAGATTATCCGGTCTTTTACATTATCATAAACAAAGTCTAAGGGAGGTAACTAGTCCTAAAACAAGATGTTGACGCCCATGAAATTTATATAAGAATGCCATTTCCGAAAATCCATTTGATTGCAGTGTCAGTTCAATATCCAACACTCTTAATTTTTTTTATTGTAAAATTTCTCTCTTCATGGGCCATATCTATGTTGTTTTTTTTATTGAATCCTAATTCGTCATCACGATTCATGTTTGTTTATAAATGCAAGTGTTATTGACAACTGTCCCATACCCTCATTATTTATATGGCCCAACTTTTCTTCGGCGTACACCGGCACGGTATTAGACTAGGATAACAATCCCGAAACTCATGGAGTTGAAAAACATTAGTCTTATATACCGCCTCTACTTAATTATGGAAGTAGGTTGGAAAAATGTAAAATTTGGCAATTTGACTTATACTCAACATCGACTTATACCCTGTATGGTAATGTGATGATGCCCCCTCTTCCAGACAAGACATAGGCTATAACTGTTTCAAATGACAAGTGCTAAATGAAGTATTTATGTGGTCTTTGGTGAAAGAAATGAAATGAAATGAAATGGGGTTTAACGTCCTACTGTTCTGCTCCTAACCTGGGCTAATGAAGACGAGCATATGCCATACAGTGTACTATGAGGGAAATTTTTCCTGGGCAGCGGGGCTACGGCCTACTCTTATATCGAATTCCAACTGCCAAGGGATCTTTTACGTGCACGCCAATGTCTACACGGGACCTCGGTTTTTCGTCCCATAACGACTAGACAGCTGTCCCTCTGTCAGTTCCTCCGTCCTGCATCACTGACAAGGGAAACCACGCCGGAAAATCAGGATGAACTTTCTCGGCCAATACAGGGATCGAACACCCGATCTCCAGGCTAGCGAGCCAGCGTCTTACCCACTTAGCCACTTGATCCCCCCCTTTGGTGAACGAGAGAGAGAGAAATGGGGTTTACCGTCCACTCGACACAAACTAGGTCATTTCGGGACTAACATATGGTTTAATTTTTTATTTACATAATTCGCTTGCGCGTAGGGGTCTTTAGCAGTGGGAGGAAACCGAAGGACCCGGAGAAAACCCACGAGGTTGGACAGGCGACCCTACTCCTTGCCACGTACAACCGGGGTTTCGAAACCACGCCATTCGACTCAATGACAGACTTTATGATACAGCGCGCGCACGCTAACCATTCAGCCATCCACCACCCCCCTCCCTTTGTTGAAAGAAAACAGAGCTGTGGCTAGTGAAATGAAAGTTTAATGTCCTACTGTTTTGCTCTGAACTGGGCTAATGAAGATGGACATACGCCATACAGTGTGCTATGTGGGAAATTTTGCCCGGACAGTGGCACTATGGCCTTCTCTTATATCGAATTCTAACTTCAAGGGCTCTTGTACGTGCACGCCAATGTGTACATGGGACCTCATTTTTTTGTCCCATTTTAATGACTAGACAGCTGTCTTGTCTAGCCCTCTGTCCTGCATCACTGACAAGGGAGAACCACACCCGAAAATCTGGAGTAACTTTCTCGGCCAATGTCAGTGATGCAGGACGGAGGGCCTGACGAAGACAGTTGTCTAGTCGTTTGGATGGGACAAAAAAAACAAGGTCCAGTGTACACATTGGCGTGCACATAAAAGATCCCCTGGCAGTTGGAATTCGATACAAGAGTAGGCCATAGCGCTGCTGCCCGGGCAAAATTTCCCTCATAGCACACTGTATGGCGTAACCTTTTGCGTCTCTTCAAAATATTTCAAATCTTTTGTCATGGATCAACCATTGCAAATATCCGTGTTACAATTATATTTGAAATGTGTTAAACCAATTCTGCAACACATGTAATATTGGTGTAGTATATATCTTTTTTTATACACCCACATATCAATTTTGGCCCTGTTTGTCCGTACACTGGGTGTGAAATGTGAATCATTCCGATTGTGAGAGGACAAGCATTATCAATATACAGCTTTTCAGGACTTTGCTTTCCTTGGTTAATTCTCCCTAGTCTAGTCGTTTGGATGGTACGAATGATCGAGGTCCTGTGCACACATTGGTGTGCACGTGAAAGATCCCTTGGCAGTTTGAATTCGATATAAGAGTAGGCTTTAGCGCCGCTGTCTGGATAAAATTCCATAATAGGACACTGTATAGCATATTTCCATGTCATTAGCCCTGTCGGAATAGGACATTAAACCCATTTCATTTCACTCATTCCAAAGTTAACTTCTATTCCATCAATACCTTGAGCAAATAAGATAGAGGCTATAGGTTTTGGCCCAATTTGGTCAATATCCCAGTTTTTTCTTTCTTATATGCATATCAACACTTTCATAGCGCTAATGTAGACCTTTTTCTTGAACATTTTCCCGTGTCAGTGATGCCGGACAGAGGACCTGACATGGATGGCTGACTAGTCATACGGAAGGGACAAAAAAACCAAGGTACAGTGTAAACTCAAGTGTGTGTGTGTGTGTGAAAGATCCCTTGGCAGTTGGAATTTTATATAAGAGTACGCCATAGCTCTGCACACTGTGTGGCATATGCCCGTCTTCATTTCTCAAACAGCTGTGGATAAAAACTGTTAATATTTAAATGTGTATTTTGTATTTTATAACATTATATTTTTGTCTTTTAAATAAAGTATATGTATACATACTTGTAGTATATTTTGTCATATAATTCTGCTAGATTTTTAACTTTTCTGTGCAATACATTTAGAATTCTGACTGGTTATGGGTAGATAGAGAGCAATGGGGTAAAACATCCAATAGACATAAACTGTCCTTTGGGACTAAGTGATTCAATTCAAGTTGAATAATTCATCCGCACCAGGAATCTTTAGTAGTAGGAGGACCCAGAGAAAACCCATGTTCAAGTTGGGTGTGGAAACAAACCACTTGACTCAATGACAGACCTTATGATCTAAAGCGCACACGTTGGACCACTCAACTTTTAGCCTCACCCACGGGTCAGGAAAATTTGATTATTGGTTGAATGTACTTCCCATTTACTGCCGCAAATAATGAATAATTTTGAAGGTTTTAATGCTCATCAAAATTTGACTTTAGAATTGCATCCGTAAATGATGTTAATTTAATGTTAGATTTACGGTATAATGATCGGTTAGATATCCATCATTTTGCTCATCCTTTTAACGACAATTTAACGTCAGGAAATGACGTTAATCTAGCGTAAAGTTTACGTCATTTTTACGTTATATTTACATCATTTTCTGACGTAAATCTAACGTAAAGTTTACGTCATTTTCTGACGTAAATCTAACGAAAAGGACGTAAACTTTACGCAAATTTTACGTTAGATTTACGTCAGAAAATGACGTAAAGTTTACGTTAGATTTACGTCAGAAAATGACGTAAAGTTTACGTTAGATTAACGTCATTTCCTGACGTAAAATTATCGTTAAAAAGATGAGCAAAATGATGGTAAACTGACTGACCATTTTTACGTAAATGTAACGTAAAATTAACATCATATTGTTATGTGGGAAGGGACATTTTAGCCAGTTATTAGAACACAGCCTGTATTATACCTATGCATTAATTTCAAAGAGTCATAATTTAGCAAACACAAATAACTGTCCAAAAAACATCAGTTTTTACATTGTTATTACATTGTCAAACCTTATTAGGGGTGCCTTTGGTATGGATGTGGTCGGGCATTAGGAATTTCCGTTTTGTGGGGTGGAGGGTCCGAAAACACGGCACATAATCGCCAAGTGGTGAGCAGCTGTCAGTTGGACACTCTACCCAATGAGTCATTGCTGATCTAAATCTTTCACATTTATGCACTTATTACATGTTAGCCGACACCGGTAAATACCAGTATTAATAGCGCGCACTTTCTTTTCATAAGAAATATGATTAACAACGAGTTTGGCTAAAAAAAATCGACCTAATTATATTATAGGAAAACAACGACAGTGATCGATTAAATTCTCCTTAAGGTCACGTGTATTTACTGATATTCGCTATTTACTAGATTTTCATTGGCTGAAAGCTCGCCGTCTCACTACTTTTATTATTGCGAGGACAAAAAAATGCTGTCGTTTAGATTATTTGTTTAAAACGTTTCTGGCACATAAATTGGAGTGTGACAGTTTTGTTTACAACACATTAGGCTTATTTCTCGAGAAATAAATATTGAAACTTTCCACAGCGGTGAGTTGCAACGACTTTTGAAAACAAAGCTAGTTAGGACTTCCCAGTCCTCCGCCTAATTATATTTATCTATTTGTGCATGTAAGAAGGGATTGGGTGATAAATAAAATCTCCTACTCGTCTTTTTTGATATCAAAAAATATCAACACTCGTTGATAAAGTAAAAAAAAACTCGACAGAGCCTCGTTTTTTGTTACTTTATCAACTGGTAGGAGATTCTCTATTTATCCTGCGTATTTGCGAAATTGATAATAAAGAACTGTATTTTGAACATCATTGAACGGGAGCTGTCTTGGGAGAATTAACCTTCTTGGGTCAGCGTTAACTTGATATCAAGCGCATACCAGAACTATAATTTAGTAAAAACTGTATTTTACCGTAATATTTAGGCTTATAGAATCTGTCTGCCTCTCAGATAAACCGGGTCACCTCGGATTTTATAGTGTTAGAAACTGATAGTTTTTGCTATACAAAAACGTATGCCATATTACAAGACAGGCAACGGTGCATCAGACAAATATTATGGATATTACTGAAA